AAAGGGAAGCTGGTCCCTTCATCTTAAGTTAGTGGTCTATCAAAGTTCTATTTGCTACTTTGGCATGCTCTAAATTTTCATTAAAAAACGTCCAAATGTCACACACAACACACACACACCTGCAAAGTTTTACTTAGGCCTATGGGTATAGAAACATCTCATGTGTTTGGAATTTCAATAATCTCATGGAGTTTTTCAGAAAGTTCTAGACCATGGAAGTGAAGGACTTTTTGGTGGATAGACAGGTCCAACCCTGGCTTTAGAGTAGGACTTACGTCTTCACCAGAGCTGTAACCTTGGGAAGACCTCTCCTACATTCCTGTGTCTCGTAGGATGGCCCCAACTTGACTGAGAAGGGCCCAAGGCAGCCATTTTTCTGGTGCACCATCACGTGGGAATTTAATGGCCACTCTTTACGTTCCTCTCTGGCAGATCTTCCAGGCCCAGGGAAGTTACAGTTTCCTGGTCTGTGGTGTGATCTTTGGCTGCCTGGCTTTTATCTTCTACATCTTGCTCCTGTTTTTCCACAGGATACACCCTGAACTCTCATCAGGTAAGGAGAAAATGTGTTTCTGCGCAGATGCGGGAAACAGCGGGGGAGGGGAAAGAATGTGATTTCAACAATCAGAAGAGCTGCTCTGTTCCAGGTGAAATGCAAGGAAGTGTTTGTTTTTCTACCACTTTCCTTTCCCGCTTCCTGCTTTCCTTGATTGTCCACACTGGAGTCTGAAGGCAGCAGAGAGTAGAACAGGCTGACTCATGGCTTCTCCATTAGTAGAGGGGCACAGGCTGTGAACCTGTCTTCCTGCAACTCCTTTTACAGGATCCTAGGGCCAAAAGTAGAGAGCATGAGAGGATAGAGCTTGCCTCGATGGCTGGAGCTTGGCCTGGTGGCCTAACTGGCCATTTTCCTGAAGTTTGGGGTTTTGACTCTTGTCCAAATTGCTTCTTCTAAAGAAATCTTTTTGGCCAAATGGCAGGAAAGAGTGTCCTTCGGGACAGAGACACTCCTATGAATAGTTTCCCTCCTGGAGACCCCAGGCCAGGGTAGTAGCAAGGCTATTTTTGTAACTCTGCGTATCCCTTGCCCAGTGACTACAGCCATGCATTGGGGTGCTCTCAGCAGAAGGTGTCCAAGCAGAGACAGTGTTCTCTCTGTGAAAACAAAATCACACACACACACACACACACACACACCTGAATAACTACTGCCCTCTCTCACTAATTAGCCATGTCCTCTCTAAATACTAACTACAGAGCTGGGCTTGGTGGCTCACACCTTTAATTCCAGCACTCTGGAGGCAGAGACAGATAGATCTGTGGGTTCAAGGCCAGCCTGGTCTACATAGTAAGTTCCAGGTCACATAGGACTACAAAACAAAACAAACAAAAAAATTAACTATAGAGACCCAGCAGGAGAGAGGACATCCCACCCCCAGAACAGCCTCTGAGGGGTAGAGACTATCTAGCCCAGCCTTCTGTATAGAGCTTCACTTAACATATGTAATCAAGATGGCTCAGCAAGGTAAGGGTGCCTGCCACCAGGACTGATACTTTTGAGTTTATTCCTGGGACCCACATGGTAGAAGGAGAGAACTGACTCCTGTAAGCAGGCCTATGACCTCCACACAAATACTGTGGCGCACGTACCCCCAACACACACATACCCCACTAAATATCCCAATAAAGAGTGTGCTGAAGATGGAGGAGGAGGAGGAGAGGGAGGAGGAGGAAGAGAGGGGGGAGGAAAGGAGGAGGAGGAAGAGGAGAAGGAGGAGGAGGAGGAAAAGGGGAAGGGGAAGGAAAAGAAGAAGAAAAAGAGGAAGAGGAGACGCATGCATGCCATTATGTCGATTACCAAATGACTGACGGTCCCTGCGGGTTTTCCCCAGTCCTAGACACTAGTCTCAGCTAACTGTCTCTATCAGCACTTTCACCAGAACCTGATTTGACTTCCCACCGTGTGTGTGTGTGTGTGTGTGTGTGTGTGTGTGTGTGTGTTAATGAGCCCCAGAACAACTGAGAAACAAAAGGCTTGCTCACTCTCTAGAGTGAACTGTTGCGGTGCAAGCTGGGGCTGCCCACATCTGCTACCTATGCTGTTTATGTTTTCTTTCGTAGTTCTTATCCAAGACAAACCCCTGGGTGTGGAGAACTCTGAGAGCTACCAGAGGTGAAGACCTCAGCCTCCTGAGCCACAGGGTAACCAACCTGACAGGAGGCCAATGGTCGCAGAGGAGGTTTCTCCTGCCACCTTGCTTATATCTTTTCCTTTCACACTTAGCCAAGAAGTTGAGTGCTGGTCCCTGAGTGTTCCCTGGACAAATCAAGCACCTGCCTGGCACTTTAGTATTTTCTTCTCTGGTTCAGATGTGTAGTCTGTAGTAACCAGATGGGAGGACACAAGAGTGCTCACATCTCTCCATTCATCACCCCATGCATGGGCTAAACCCTGGGTTTGAGATCACTTTTAGTTGAGGTTTGGAAAAAATGCTGAAATCATAAAGCTTAATCACCAATAGATGTAGCTCTATTTAGATATATTTTAAATTAATCAAAACCCTCTGGCATGTTGAAAGGGATTTATGTGTTCTTCCCTTACCCATGGTCCAAAGTCCCTTACATTCCTCCTGAGGAAATCAGGGAGTCTACCTGTGTCCTAAGACAGCAAAGGAAATGCTGAATTGTGTTTTGGGGCCCTAGGTCAGTAGCACACTGGGCTAACTCGGAGCAGCTTTAGAGAAGCTATTAAATTTTCACTTTGAGAGCTAGTCGTGCAGCCATGATTTCAAATTAAATTAATTTATAACTAAACAAAGGTCATACTCAAAACACCACTTTTTAATTTTATATGACTGATGCTCCTGAGGTCTCTGTGTCTGTGGCACAAAGGTGGTGGCATTTCTATGTGACAGAATGCTGCCGGGCCCCTCTCAGCTGCTCGGTGACAGCCCATTGGTAGCCTGAGATCAGCCATGGCAGAGAAATGGCAAAAGCTACACAGCACGGCTGTGCCCCCTACCCCAGAACAGGTGTTTTTACCAGCACCTCACTGCTAATAAGCAATGTTAATTGGTTCAGACAGCACAAGGAGAATACAATAGACATCCTATTTTTTCTTTACTGCATCTGCAAGGTGCAGAAGAAGCAGCACTGAGAATTAAAAAAAAAATAGCTCATTGAAGTTTTGTACCTTTTATAGAGGAAAATTTTATACTGTGTCAAGGTCTTTTTTTTTTTTTCATAGAAATCTAGGACTACTGAATAATTCAAGACATGCAGTATACATCGAGCAGTGTCAGTGTGCAGAAAGCAGTGTCTGTCCTGTCAGGAGTCCCCAGTTCTATACAGAACACAGAGGGTTAGCAATGCAGACAATGCAAGCATTCAGGCTCACCCGCCCGGACAAGGCTGAGTGCAAGGTTTCTGGAATCACCGGTATGGCTGTTACAGTGATTTTTAGAAGGAATGAAATAGCCCATTATAGTCATGGGTTTATCTGTGCATTCTCTGTGAGTACACATATGTTCATGTAAAAGTTGAGTGAAATCGTAGTCCCAAGGGCTGTAATTCACACACCAGATGCCAACAGAGCAGAGACCGGGATCAAGTACCAGCCTCACCTTCTAGCAGTGACCCTGACCGTGTCCCTTCCTCACCCCTCCCCGCCCCAGGTATTTCCAGCCTCGCTTGTCTTTACCAGTATGGTGGCATTTCTAAAAGCACCCTACCTCACAGGAATTCTGAGAGAATTATATGTGTATGGAGTATTTGCTACATGCCCAACATGGGAACTGCCTTCTGAATGCTCAAGTTTTAACATTTATTATTTTTAAAGCCTCATAAGCAGTTTAGAAGCCATTCACATTTGGTACAAACTGTAGCTCAAACAAACTCCACTTTGAAACTCTGATGGCCTAAGCAAATCCTTTTAACTCTATTTATAAATACTGTCAAAAGCACCTGATGCTAGCCAAATTGAAATGTGCAGTCTAACTGTAGTAACTGACCTGGGCAAAGAGAAAAAGCAGTTGTATTTTTCTTGTAGTTTTTCAAGAAAAAAAATCATTTTTATACAGATTTAGAAAGAAATCACTGATTATATCTACATTGGTAATGATTGATGTATTAATATAGGAAATAAATTAAAACAAATCTAATACTTTCCTAAAATAAAATATTTTAAACTTGTAAGTGTGTTATCCATCATGAAGGACAATCGACCCTTTTATACAGCTCAAATGATCTAATCCTCCCCAGAGACAGGCCTCTCTTATAGTTTCAGATAGTGCACACACACAGGCACACGGGCACAGACACTCCTCATATCTGTGATATGTACACAACAAGTACACATATGAATTCTAGGCAAGCACTCACTACTGGGCCACACTTCTAGCTCTCAAAACTCCTGTTGTAAAGTCTCTCTGTCCCCAGATTCCTTCTGCAGTCATGGGAATCTAACCCATCAGCACACCTTGTTCCCTAAAGAAAGGCACAGAAACACAAAGGAGTTTCTTTTTTTTTCTTTCATATGTATGTGTCTTTTTTCTTTCATATATATACATATATATATATTCATAACGTGTTTATTGGGATGGTTCTGATTCATGTTGAATCAGGTGTTTTCAGTGCTGCGTGCTCGTAAAGAGCATCCTTCTGTCAACCTTGCTTTCCTGCCCGTAGGCTGACAGAGGACAGTGGAGCAGCCAAAACACAGACTACCATTTGTGCATGGCTAAACCCTGGTGATTTCACAGCATCCTGGGCATTTCACATCCATAGACAAGGAACTGGGGCTCTGCACCAGGCACTTTTTCTTGTGTTTCCTCCTCTCCTCTTCTGGAGAGGGATGAAGGAGATGTTTTTCAAGAGGCATGTTCTCATAGGGAGGTTGTCTCCACTAGAAAGGGCCTTTCTTTTTAAAGCAGATCTTACACAGCCCGAGAGAGACTTAGATCTTTACGTAGTTCAAATTGTCTTGAACTTGTGATTTTCCAACTTCTACATCCCAAGTGCTAAGATTGTAGGCATGTCTCACCATAGCCAGTTTATGTGAGTCTGGGGATCAAACTCAGAGTGCACGTGGGAGACAGACAGTCTTCCCACTGAGCAATAACCTCCTTCCACAGAGGTTTCTTAGAGATTGCATTTACTCATTCAGAAAAAAAGACTAAGCACCCACCATGTTCTAAGCAGAAGCTGAGGTGGAGTTTCAGCAGTGGATGAGAAGTCCCTGCCTCACAAGGACTAACTACAAGGCCAAAGCCATAGAAACAGTAAATAAATATGTAACATGTGGTGGACAGTGTAGTACTGTAAAGAAAAGGCAGCAGGGGTAGGCATGGGAATGCCTAGAGATGCTTGGGCTTTCTTACCGAGAGGACAGCATCTGTGCTACACCGGAGCAAGCCAGCTGGGTACCTGGGATAATCCTGCCAGGCAGGGGCCACAGCAAGGGGAAGGGCTTTGAATTGGAATGTGTTTCATAGAATCTGAGAAGCAACTGGCAGGCTGGTGTGGACCAACTGCAAGGCAGACAGACAGCAGCAAGAAACAGGGTGGCATGCTAGCTGGGGCCCACATCACACATACCAGGATAAGAATGTAGGTTTTTCTAGGGGGCATGAGGTGATCGGCAGAATGTGGCATAGCATGGTTTCCATGTTTAAAAATGGTGGCTCTGGTTGTTTGAAGACTGTGCAGCTAAGCTGACAAGATTAGCTTAGGCACAACTGTAAGGCTAGAGAAGTGACAGTGACCTGGGCCATGTGGGTACAGAGGGAGTGGTGAGAGTGGATTAATCTGAAGGTCAAACTGGTGGGATTTGCTGATGGACTGAGTGTGCATGAGAGAAAGGTGGCTGTCCCAGGTAAGCCCAAGGCATCTGACCTGTGCCCGGGTATGAGGCCATTTTGAGGCAGGCATGCATGCATCGGCAAGACTCCACTTAGCTTGAGCTATACACACGGCACTTAACCAGTGAGACCTTGCCAACATGGAGCTACACACTTCTCCCTAAATAAAGAAACTGGTCACACTGACCTGGCGCCTCCTAGAAATCCTTAGTAATTCCCTTCTGTGGCTAAGCACATCCTGAAACATACCTGGGAATGTAAGCCTGCACTGGTTTGGGTTGCATCTACAATAAGGCAAACTATGCCCAAAAATGAACTTTTAGGAAAAATCCCTATTTACCATCATGCCTGTGCATAAGATTAAAATAAGATGCACTGTGGGAAAGGACCTGTGCAAGGAACAAATCCATACCATGCCTGTACAGGTCAGAAGACAACCTTCAGGTGCTGGCCCCTGCCTTTCCATTTTGTCTGAGAAGGGAGGACTCTTTGCCACTGCATGAGCCAAGCTAACTGGCCCAAAGAAAGCTTCTAGTGGATTCTCTGGCCTTAGCCTCTCATCTCTGGGTTCTCAAACTGGGAGTCACAACCCCTTTGGGGTCGCCTACGACCACTGGAAAACACACATTTCTGATGACCTCAGGAACCACTCCTCTCTCCGGGCAGGTCCACCCTCATGCAGACATGCCCACATGTGAGTACCTGGAAATGTATTCAAGGGTCAAAGCCACAGGAAGGTTGAGAACCACTGGGGTAGAGGAAGCTAGGTTTATATATTTTGGTTTTTCTTTTCCTTGTATTCTGGGGATCTGAACTCAAGTTGTCAGGCTTGTGCAGGAAGCACCTTTACCTGTTGAGGATCTCCTGGCACGGTGTGTCTACTCTATGCTCTCTTGGCTCCTTAACAAACACTCACTGCTTTACTAATGCTTCTCAAAGTCTCTGACAGATGCCATGAACCTAGAAACACTCAGTCCAGGCAGAGACTGCTGGTAACAGTTTCAACACTGGAAGCCTAGGAATACTCAAGAGCTGTTTTAGGGCCAGAGAGATGACACAGCAATTAGGAACGCTTACTCTTCCAGAAGATTCAGGTTCAGTTCCTAGTACCTCATCTCTAACTCCAGTTCCAGGGGATCTGATCATTTCTACCATTCTCTGCAGGCACCAGGCACCTATGTGCTACACTCATACATATGCAGGCAAAGCACTCATACACATAAAAAAATGAAAACACACATCTTTAAAAAAAATAGCTGCCAAAAATAAGATTGGCTGATGTGTTGGGGCACACCTTTAATACCAACACTCAGGAGGCAGAGGTAGGCAGATCTGAGTTTGAAGCCAGCCTGGTTTACACAGAGAGTCAGACCACCCAGAGCTACATAGTGAGACCATGTCTTTTTAAAAAACAGTTTGCACAGGGTTGGGGAGATGGCTCAGTGGTTAAGGGTACTGGCTGCTCTTCCAGAGGAGCCAGGTTCAATCCCCAGCACCCACATGGCAGCTCACAACTCTTAACTCTAGTTCCAGGGGATCTGGTCACCCTCATACAGACATATATGCAGTTAAACAACAATGCACATGAAAGCAAAATAGATTAAAAAAATTTAAAGTTCACACATCAGTTTATGATGCTTTATATAAGTATACACTTTGTATAAGTAATTTACAGTTTTGAAAGCCAAGGGACCAGATGAAATCACCTAGTTAGTGATTGTAGGGACTGGGAGAGTTTGAACCCTGGGAGTCCTTCCAAAATTAGAGGTTTAGGAAAGGAACTGGTGAGCAGAGTAAAAATGGGAAGCCAGAGGTAGGAACAAATTCAGGGTCACAGTGGTTTCCTGGAAGGTATGTGCAGAGCATCTCAAGGAGAGGTCATTAACAGGACCGAACCCCACCACTGGGCCAGACAAGAGAGGTGCTTTGATTAATGACACATGGGATCAACACACTTAAAATTCAGTAGCATGACCAGCATCTGCCAAGAGACTACACTGCTGTTGAAATTTTCACTCCTGTGGTGGTCTTTCTCTGTAACATACCACTATACTTCTGAGACACTCCCAATGAAGTCATGATCCCTTCCGTGGCAAGTGTACCGTGGTCTGTGAATCACTTGGGAGTAATAATCAATGATCTATGGTGGTTTGAAAGAAAATGGTCCCCAGAGGTGTGGCCTTGTTGGAGTAGGTGTGGTCTTGTTGGAGGAAGTGTGTCACTGTGGAGGTGGGCTTTGAGGTCTCACATATGCCCAAGACATGCCCAGTGAGGCAGACCATTTCCTGTGGCCTGCAAGTCAAGATGTAGGACACACTGCTCCTTCTCCAGCACCATGATAATGAACTAAACCTCTGAACTGTAAGCCACCCCAATTAAATGTTTTCCTTTGTAAGAGTTGGCATGGTCATGGTGTCTCTTCATAGCAAGAGAAACCCTAACAAAGACAGTTTCCTACCTGATAAGGCCAGTCCCAAAGAGCCCCAGTGTGAAGTGTTTGTTCCCCCGTAAAAACACAGATATTGCTTACAGTTAGCATGAGTCTCCAAATTAGCATCAACGGTAGGAAAGGCCAGATCAGAAATGGTGGCTTACTCAGGCTTTCAGCTGAGGACTTGGAGCATCCTGGATCTCCAAGAAGCAAGGAGTTTCTCAGATCATCTGAGTTCATGGGACCACAGACCACTCTAGGTAGCACATTTGAGAAAGGTACGCAGGAGAGGAGAGCCCTTCAGTACGTTACCTGTGTGGCCAAGTCCCGCCTAAAGAGACATCCCCCGAGGGCCTGTGACCTGCCGGCCAGCCAGCTGCTATGCTCTTATTACTTTCACCTGGACACACATACACACACTCTCTCTCTCTCTCTCTGATGTGATCTTGCCACCTGTAGGCCCACTTTCTCCAGTTTCCTTCTCACAAGCCACACAAAGAAAGGGGACCAGGGAGGCCAAGCATTGTAGCACATGTCTGGAACCCTAGCACTCTGGCACTTAGGCAAGAGGACCACAGCTCAAGGCTAACAAGTTCTACATGGGGAGTTCCAGACCAGCCAAAGCTAAATGACCCTGTCTCAATAAAAAAAAAAAAAAAAAAAAAAAAAAAAAAAAAAAAGTGCTAGAACGGAAATAAGCAGACTACTCATTCCAAAGGACCAATGTAAATGCATCTCATTAGAACCCTACATTTCTAAAAAGCTACAATTGTAAAACTCGGGCCAGGGCGTTGGTGGTGCAGGCCCTTAATCCCAGCACTCTGGAGGCAGAGGCAGGTGGATCACTGTGAGTTCGAGGCCAGCCTGCCTACAGATCGAGTTCCAGGATAGCCTCCAAACCAATATAGAGAAACCCTGTCTCGAGAAAAATAAATAAATAAATAAAATAAAAAACGTACACTCAAAGAACAAGGTGGTACTACCAAGCCTTTGACTTGAGTCTGATCCCCAGGACACACATGACAGAAGACAAAAACTAATTCCCCAAAGCTGTCCTCTGGTTGCCACGTGTACACCATAGCACACTTGTACCCAGGCACATACATACCCAGACACAAAATAAATAAATGCAGTAAAATTATTAAAGGTTTCCCATGACAAGCCAGGCATGGTGGTGCACTGGGGAGGCAGAGGCAAGCGGATCTCCCGGTTCAAGGACAGCCTGGTCTACAAAGTGAGTTCCACAACAGTTTGGGCTGTTACACAGAAAACCCTGTCTTGAAAAGCAAATGCAATAAAAAAAAAATGTGTTCTCTCTTAATTTCTTCCATGCCAACAATCATCTGACCGTGTCCCATCTTCACTTCCTCTTCTGACCTGGGCTTTAGATGTTTTCACAGAGACATATTAAGCAGTGAAGCCTGGGTTTCAACAACACCCACTGAATTAATTCCTTACCCAATTAGTGTGGATGAGAATATCAGCAACTTCTGTGACGGATGTGAGGGAGGAGGAGGAGGAAATAATCATTTCAAGTCATTTTGTTAAAAATATTTATTTTAAAAAAATACAATTGTTGTCCACATCTAGTTGCACATGTATCTATTAAACAAATCTCTACAGCTCTGGACATGTCGTGAACATGCCAGAGCGCTTTCTCAAAGCCAGCTTCCCACATATAAGCAAACCCCTCTGTCAGTTCTTACAGAAAGTTTTTTTTAAAATGTGTCATTTTCTTAAAATACACATGATCTTTATAGAAGTTAACAAAGTTTTTGCATAAAGCTTAGAAGCAACAGAAGGAAGGACCCCTGGTTGGTTACTCAGGGCAGTCCCTTGCAATGCCTGGAGACAGCACCCAGTGGACCCCCATCTTTTTTTTTTTTTTTTTTTTGAACAGCAGTGCATTAGAAAGCCCTCAAAGTGCGCATGCGTCCTTTGCCCCCTCCCTAAACTCTATGACACTTCTGTCACCCTAAGGCAGAATTCAAGACTCCACACTGGCTTCACCAGCCTTAAAACAACACCCCTTTGTCTCTACAGTTAAGTGCTACTGTGTAGCTGGATGAGATGACATGATGCATTCTGTCCAGCTGTAAGAACAACCAATGTTAATTTTAAGGACTGTTAGCAGTTACCATTTCAACTACTTTTTCAGAAAGGAACAAAAGTGATTGTAATGCTTTGCAGCCCTCCTTACTATAAACTAAACTAAACTAAAGACATGTCATTAGTGTCGCCTCGACAGTTCTTCTTTTGGGCAGGTGTTGCTTGCACCCATCTAAAGGTCTACTCATACAAAGTGGTAACACTGAGTAATATGAGATACAGATTTCAATAAAATAAGCAAGGAGGGGTGGCCACACAGGCACCATTCCTCTAAGGAGTCGAGTACCCTGTGAAGTCCTTTTTACCACCCATCCCAAACTCACATACACAGGAAACCTGTCCCCCACCCATCCTGTGTAAACACCAGTGTATATACATTGCAACCACTCCATGGCAGAACACATGCTTTTTACTAAATTCTAGATTAACTGAATGAAAAGTAAGAGTTTGTTATTAATGTCATTTACCTTTTAAATCACGTTCACACCTTAGAGTGCACCAACTGCCAGGTTCACTGTGACTCAACCACCTAGCACACATAAGTTAAAATAACCCATGGTTATTTCTCATTAATCACACAGATCTTGTGCCTCAGGTTGGTCCTGAACTTGCCAAAGATGACCCTGAACTTCTTGATCACCCTGCCTTCTGCATTCCTAGTGCTAGGATTAAAGGCTTGAGCCTCCACTCCCAGTTTTTGATGGAATGGGGATCAAGCCTTGGGCTAGTATGCTAGGCAGGCATTCTAGCAGCCGAGCTGAAGCTCCAGCTTAGGAGGCTCTTTTAAAAAAGAAGTTCTGGTAGGAATCATGGGAAATTACTAGGTTGTTCTTGAGTGCAGACTTAGGCCAGATGTGGTAGCACTTCCTGTAGTCCTAGCTACTCAGGAGGCAGATACCTGAAGAGACTGTTGTAACCAGCAGTTTAATGCAAAACCTACTTTTAAAAAAGCCAATTTAATTATTTGGTGAATAAAAGACATAATTCTAAGAAACTTATTTTAACCCAAAATTTTATGTTTAGAACCAAACTAATCAATATCAAAATGAGCTAAAGCTTCTTAAAAAAAAAAAAAAGGTGCGTGTGTGTGTGTGTGTGTGTGTGTGTGTGTGTGTGTGTGTGTGTGTGTGTGCAGCATGTGTGCAGATGCCCACAAAAGCCACAAGGGGGAGTCAGATCCTCTAACACTGGAGCTATAGGCAGTTGTGAGCCACCTGGCATGGGTGCTGAGAACCACACTCTGTCCCCCTGGACAAGCACCAAGTGCTCTGAGCAGCACTGAACCTCCACCTCTTCTTTTTAAATGTACTTTCAGGCAGGTTCTCATGAGGCTCAGGCTGGCCTTTAACTCCCTATGTAGCCAAGGATGACCCTGAACTCATCTATAATCCTCCTACCTGCATCTCCCAAGCATTAGGATTATGGGCATGTGCTAACAGTCCAGATAGAGCTTTATAGTTAGTCTTTCCAACCCACAAAGATAAATGAAACTGCTAGAAGCAAAGGGAAGAACCTCAGGGCCACATTGTAAGCTGGACTCCAGGAACTCAAAGATCCTATGTAAGTTTTCCCCTAAGTGTTCACTTTAGCTGATTCCCGTAATATTCAACAGGGAACATGCTTTCTATCACATATGCCAGCAATGGCAGCAGCAAATGCTGTCAAACAGAGGCCACTGGTAATACTGTACTCAAGCAAACAATGAAATGTCTCAGAAGGGACTGTGTCCCCTATGTAACAGAAATAAATGAGGAAAGCGACAACTAAAATTGTCTTTTGTGTGTCAAATTTACAGTGCAATCTACCAATGCAAATCATCTTTTAAAATCATAAATTTCTACAAAGAACAATATAAGAGCTTGTGAGTCATTTACATGCTAGCTGAAAGAGGCTGCCTTACTGAGCCTGGAAGGAAGACTCATCAGGTGATCCATTTCTCCCTTCTCTAAATGCTCTAAGTTCCCCAAACTAGAAATGAGAAATAACCGTATTTCCTTGACCCTCAATATCCTGAAGCTGAAATCAAGCAAAGAACCATTAACTGCTTCCAGTTATTAAAATCAAAAACAGCTGGGCATGGTGCTACATGCCTTTAATCCCAGCACTTAGGGACAGAGGCAGGAGGATCTATGTGAGTTCAAGGCCAGCCTGGTCCACATAGTGAGTTTCTCAGAGCTACAAGGTGAGACATTGTTTCAAAAACCAAACAACAAAAAAACAACAAAACAAGCAAACAGTGCTAATAATAGATCCCAAGAAAGTGCCAAGTGATTTAATGGCAGTCCACAGAATTCCCGCTCCTGAGAGGGGGCAGAGTGAATGACTCTATTGGCAGGACCTATGGGCCAGCTGCCAGGCACCATCTCCCTCTCACCTTATCAAGAAGATTCTAGGCTGTATGAGCACAGCTCATAATCCCTGGAGGGATGAGAATTGGTGGACCTTAAGATGGGAAGAAGGCAAAGCTGAGACCATTCAGCCTGACCCTCCCCCCTTGAGGTTTCTGCTAATGCTACTAATAAAGGGTTTAAAGGGTACATTATGCCACCAAGCCAGGAGTCCTCCCTCCACTTACACCCTATAGACACCTTCTGAGAAACTTCCCAACCAACCCAGGAGCAATTTTACACGAAAGCAAACAGAAATGCAAAGAGCTTTAGGAAAATGTCCTTACACTTAATGCATGAATATAAGAGTGCAGGGTAACACCACTGTGGGGGTAGTCTAAGCATCAGGTCCTAACACATTGATTGACAACTGGTCTGTAAGGCCTATGATTCCAGGCATTTAAAACTGAACCGAACAAGGTACTGTCTTTAAAGGTGATACCTGTAGTTGCAGCAATGAGGGGGTTTCCTATATTATGTTTAGAACAAATAGACTAGAGCCATCTTAGGGGAAGAAGAATTGCATACCCTGGGTCAACATGGCAGTGCATGCATAGGGATGTACTCCACCACTATGTGCTCAATCCCCAATTAAGTATTTCAAAGACAAGTTAACTTTATGAAACTTCCCAGTGTGCATTACACTTAGCCTTCAAGAGACTGTAAGCCCCAGGAATTTCCTGGTAAAAGCTGTCATTTAGTTGTGGGGGAGGAGTAGCTCAGTATCAGTCACTTATTTAGCATGTGAGGGCCTGGTTCTGTACCCAGCACCACAGAATCGAGTCCAATCATGTCAGCAGACAGTTCCTCTCCCACAAGCCACTCTGCATTTCCACCTTTAACAAGTGCTAAACTACAAACAGCAGCACTGAAGAAACAAATGGCTGCCTTTTGGCAAGCTAGCCGCATGTTACATTATGTCTCAGTAACAGCGGAGCAGCTTGAAGGACTGTCGGCTTCAGATGGAGCACCTGCTGGACACTTCACTACGATGACAACTGACCTCTCCTGTCTGCTGTTTATAGGTGAAGACATGACTCTGATAGTAACAAGTCCCACGGGGCACAAGACGCGCCATCACCTGTAGAATCCCGCTCAAAGATGGAGATCTCACCTTCAGTAAGTAGCTCTGATAATGTCAGAGAATAATGGGGCAGTGCCAGCACTGAGAACAGCAGGCCTAGAAGAAACCCAACAAAGCGCTTTCCACAGAAGCCACAGAAGCCAGCGTCTGGGAGTCTGCTGGAGACGGACTGTGTGTCTGTCCCTTCCCTGCACTGTGTGTCAAGCACTCAGCTGCTCAAATCCACTTGAGACCCCACCCTGTTCCCGACAGCAGGCCACAGACAGCATCAACACTCTGAATCTTGCTGGTCTGGAAATTCATTCCGAGCCCTGGGTTTCTGCTCAGGCCTGCACTTGTCTCCACACTTTTCCAAGCCAAAGAACGGCACCATGGCATGACAACTCCTGGTTTTTGGCACAGGCAAATGGCACATATGTAGTAAATAAGTGATAAACAGAACAAGTCATCGAGTAAACTAGCCTTTCAGATGCTTAAATGTCCCAAATGAAAAAACACAATAAAAACAGCACTTCATAATCCTGCAAGAAAACTAAAGCTGGCATATACTTTAGCATAAAGCAACCTGACATAATTGTGAAGCTGTTGGTAAAAATATAAGGCCAAAGATGTTTGTAAGAAGACTCTAAAGTAAAAATGTCGGCTGTTCGTAATATGGAGATGAAAAGGAACAGCTCAGGATGCGCAGGGAATCCAGAAAGCATTTGGGAATGAATCCCTAATGAGAAAGAATTAATAGGAAATCTGAAAACCTATGACAAAGCTCCAGAAAATCTCAAGCTAGAATTTTCCCATGTTATTAAAAAAAAATTCTGTACTTGAGAATCAAACAAGCAACTTCATGTTGTGTCAATGAAGGACAGTGATTCTAGGTTCAGAGTCATCTGCTAGGACTGGCTGCTATACAGCATTTATTCTTATGCTAAACCCCCATTTTGTATGTTATGGTAGAGTGTGAATATTACTTTAATAGAGGGATACATATGTATGAATTTTTGAGTAACTCACATTTATAATCTCAGTACTTGGGATGGCCAAGGCAGGAGGATTGCCAAGAGTTTGAGGCCAGCCTAGACTAAAGACTAAGACCCAGTCTCAAAAATCAAAAGAGAAAATAAAACAAACAGAAAACCTTTTCCTAATCAAGGTGTGTGTTCCAGAACACTGCCAACTGCTCTTCTATAATTCCACTAAGGGCCTCAATGGTGCTTAAGACATTACCACATAAAGCTGCCTTTCAGAATGTTAAAATCAAAGGCCACAGTAAACAGTACTAGACCTCACATGGCATAAGACCAAGGTGAACAAAACGAGAGTGGCAATATCAATCGCTGGCATTTAGCCATGAATGCCAAACCACTGGTATACCTGCCAACCACTCCTGCCTTTTGTGATCTCTAGTACAGTATACCAATCTGAAAGGAATTTTCCAGTTTAAGAAGAAAAATCCAGTACTCTACGTAAGTTCATGGCTTTACTTTCTTCACCAAAATTTGAGAAAACAGTCAGACATGGTGGTGTACACTTGTAAAATGTCAGCATTTGGGATGCGGTTCACAGCCAGCCTGAGTGACATAGTAAGATCCTATCTTAAAAACAAAAAACACAGTGAAAAAAATTTATGCTTATATTTTAACTGTTAAAATATGAGGGAAAATAAACTTATATTTTAACTTGATGAAGCTTAATGTTGGCCTTTTAAGGGCCAACATTCAATTATATAATATATACTTTTTCTAATTAGTGGAAATTTCTACCCTTATTCAAACACACAGATTATGCCACAAGGACTAAAGCATCACAATAATACTATGAGAAATCATTAAAAGATTACTTAAGTTAGACCTGACATTTTAATTTTGTATTTTTTCAAAAATCAGCATGAGTTAGAGAAAAGTACACTTCAAGTGAAAACATGGCCAGGGAAGTATACACAGGGGTGTGTGGCACTGCACTGAGCCACAGAAAACCAAGGAAACCAGCAGACCCTCCAACCCAGGCATTCCCAGGACCCCAAGACCTTCTAAAACCTTCAGTCACTGAGCTGAGTAGAGATGGTCCAGAACAGAAAAAAAGCTAAAAGGCCTCAGAAGGTGTCTCAAACCCTGACAACCTGCTCATCTCCCCAGCCTCAGGCTACTGTTGCCCAGCACCAGTCACCCTGGCAGACCATACAACGCTCAGGCTTTTTCAGGAAGGAGGTAGTCTACAGCAAGAAATGTCTGCCTTACATACACACAGCAAGGTTATAAACTGACCTTAAAAAGGAAACGCGCGCGCGCACACACACGCGCACGCGCACGCGCACGCGCACTCGCACTCTCTCTCTCTCTCTCTCTCTCTCTCTCTCTCTCTCTCTCGCATGCACGCACGCACGCACACACACACTCACAGAGCAAGCACATGCTTCCTCGAATTCATTCATTTCAAGAAGAAAGCAGGTCCATCAACACCCTCCCCCCCCAAGGCCTCATGGTTTCTTATAAAGTTGCTCTGAGTTTTTTGTTTTTTTTGAGACAGGGTCTCATGTAGTCCAAGCTAGTTTCAAACTTACTATGTAGCTGAGGCTATCCCTGATTCTTGATCCTCCAGCTTTCACTTCCCAAGTGCTAGGATCACAGACCTGTGCTACCACACCCAGCCTGAGTTTAAATGGTGCCCTTGGACCCATGGCACCTCTATGCTAAAACAGTAAATTATCAAATATATCATCTGTGAAAACTACCAATGGCTTTTCTCCTTTAACTCAAGAAGATAGAAGTCTTATGTTTTCAGAATTTCAAACACCTAGTTAGATCAATTCTCAATATTTACTTAGTACACACATTGTTAACCCACTAAATTACTACAAAGTGCTGCTGAGGGTAATTCCAAATATGCAAGCAAACTAAATACTCCACTCTGGGAAGGAAGCCCATTGCAGCGCCTGTTCCCATCACTCTGAACACTACCTTTGAACCCTACTATTGCACATCGTGGGAACAGAACATTTAGAACCACAAATGAACCAGTAACAAGTCTCCAACTGCCCCTCGAAAAGACAGCTCACTGTTGCCCTTCTCTACTCAGCCACACACATGTCCATACCTAAGCACCTCTGCACCGGACAGCCAGTGATGTTCTGAAAGATGCCACACTGTATCAGTGTCATCCTGATCCTGCAAGCCCCCACTTCATACTTCTCGGTCAGTTCTAGGGTTTAATGGGTGAGGGGTGGGGCATGCAATCTAATTTAGTTCTGGACTTTAGAGTTAAAATTTTTCAAGATTCCACTGTGATACTGCTCTCAATTCAGTCTGAGAGACCAATGTCCCTGTGTGCATCTGGCTCTGACTTACCACACGGTATTTTATAAATGTGACAATATGCAGGTGAAGGGCCATAGCAATAAGAAGTAGTTCTCATTACTAATTTAACAATCATAGTTCTATGTATGAGAGTGGCCAAATGCAATCTGATCCCATAATCTAAAGCATTTTTGGAAAGAAACAAGCACACCTTTATCTCATGACTGACTGGAAAGTTTCACTGTGACGTCCACCTTCTTGATTACACCTGAACACTGCTTCATCCTCTGACCTTCGATTTAAAAAGAAGCACTTTTAAAAAAAAATGCAGAGCAGGAGTGGATAAAATTAGCAAGAAGAAAGCAGGGCCTGTCACTCTGGGTGTCTTCTGGCTGGAAAATGCCCCCACCTGTGTCTTAGGGTATTCAACTGAACCTTTTGCTTGCTTCCAATATTTAATTTTCAAGCCCCAACTCCATTTTCCTAAAAATTATCTTTTTCCAAGATGTGCTGTATGGATACAGAACCACACCACTCAGAGAGCAGACAAGAGATCTGTGCTCAAAGTGGGCTCCTGTGTTCTCAATGAATGCCCCAAACCCACATTAAAACTGAGTTTTCAAAGCCTTGTGTTACCAAAGCTCAGGGCAGGGCCCATTGATAGCTTCAGATGAGATCACAGGTATAGCACAGAGATCCACCCAGGATGAGGGCAAACAAGATGCCTTTCTGTGGTGCTGACTATCACGTCAGAACCTCCCGCCTCATAATACCCTAATTCTTCTAAGAACAGGAATGATTCTTCCTCCCACTGTTAACAAGTGGCTCCCTTTTAGTCTTTCAATAGAGCATACATACTACTAAACATACTACAATTTCCTTTAAGTCGTATTTTTATCCCTTTGAGACAGTCTCACTATATACATAGCCCAGGCTGGCCCTCAACTCTGGGTGTTCTCCTTCTGTCTCAGTTTACCAAGTGCTAGGATCACAGAAGTGGGCCATCATTCATAACTAACAAGTATTTCTTTAAATAACAGATACTAAGCATACTTTTTCCCCTGGCCAAAGAGTCCTTACATCCAGGACCAGTAAATTTGTTCTGCGACTTTCTTGCAAAACACAGCTGCTGAACCCCAACAGACCAATGTTTTTTGCACAAAGCTTAAAAAAACAAACAAAACAAAACAAACAAACAAAAACAGCAACAACACACACACACACACACACACACACACACACACACACAACCTTTTTAAAAAAGAAGTGAGGTGGAGTTTGAACTCCAATTAAGGCATTTTTATACAGTCCAACTTTTGAGAATCCTGAAAAGGCTTTCAACAGGCAATGGGGAAATTACAACAGTCTAAAAGAGCACTGCAGAACTATCCCTCATTTCAAACCAATCCTGTTGGACGTCTCTGTTTCTTAGTTCCTTGGTCTTAGTCCACAACTGCAAGGGTTATGTCTTCTGTAGGTCTGGAGAAAACGGGCCGGGAGTGGAAGGTCCATCCAGGCTAGACAGAGTGAATGGTCCATGACTGTTGAGCACAGAAGGAAACTGAGGAGACAAAAGCAGGGCAGCATCCTATTAGAACCTCTACTTCTACTTTCCATCCCTCCTACTCCCCAGGGCAGAACACAAGGCACGTCCTCAAGATAAAGGAAGTGACTACATCACAGAAGACTACAGTGTATTTCCGTGTTTTGTTTAAATTTAATCACATGTGGGGTAGGGAGGGGTGGTACACACACACACAGGGGCCATGGCTACCGTGCGTGTGAGGTCAAAGAACTTTTTGAAGGCCATTCTCTCTCCACTTCTATGTGGGTTCCAGGATCAAACAGGCTGTCAGGCTTGCACAACAAGTGCTTTACTCACTGTGACATCTCTAGGCCCAAAATATTATAGGAAAAACATACAAATAAAAATGTCTTTGTCCTCCAAGAAGCTATTTGCAATAGATAGCCCCGCTGGCAAACAGAAAATCAGTTTTCCCCATGAACTATCCCTGAGTATATCAGTCCAGGTCAAGGAGCAGTTGGCCAATACAAAACAGACTCCCTGTTTTTTTGTTGTTGTGCTTTTTTATTCTTATTGACTTTGTTTTTAGTTTGTCTATTTGATTTTCTTTCTTTCTTTCATCTTCTTGGGTTAGCTTGTTTTTCAAGACAGTGTTTCTGGTTTTTTGTTGCTGTTTTTGTTTTTAGTTTTGAAATTTTTTTATTTTATTTTATGTGCACATATGCCTGTGTGAGGGTGTCAGATCCCCTCGAACTGGAGTTACAGACAGTTGTGAGTTGCCATGTGGATACTGGGAATTGAACCTGGGTCCTCTGGAAGAGCAGCCAGTGCTCTTAACTGCTGAGCCATCTCTCCAGCCCCCTCAAGACAGGGTTGCTCTGTGTAACAGCTCTGGCTGTCCTGGAACTCACTCTGTTGACCAAGCTGGCCTTGAACTCAAGAGTTCCACCTGCCTCTGCCTCCCCAGTGCTGGGATTAAAAGTGTAAGCCACTACCGCCCAGCTTTCTGTTGGTTTTAAGGGACAAGCAAACCATGTATTTATAAGAGAGAGAGAGAGAGAGAGAGAGAGAGAGAGCGCAAGAGCGAGCATGAAGTTGGGTGGGTAAGGAAGTGAGAAGGACCTAGGAGGAGCTGGGGGAAGAGAAAGAATATGATCAAACTATATTGTATAAAACATGTTTTTAATAAATTTTTTTTTAAAATTGTCCTAATAATGTATATACTAACTCTAATCTACCTCAAAGAAATAGCGACCTTTACCCTAATGATATCCTGGTATACACCCTTATCTAACCTCAAAGGGTTAAGAAATTTGTTAAATGACAATGGGGTGCTCATAGACCTTAAGGGGACCTACTATTATTGCTTTGCTAAATGGACATGTTGTCAAATAGCCTTCTAAAGATTTATCTTTATACCAAGTGATAAATGCAGCTCTCAACCCTCATAAGAGAAGTATTTTTAAAAACTAATTATGTGTCTATGTGTGTAGTGTGTACATGTGAGTGCAGGTGCCCAAAAAGGGTGCTAGGAACTGAACTCTGGTCCTCTGCAAGAGCAGTACACACTCTTCTCCAGCCCCAGGGAGGCTTTCTTTTGTAGTGAATGTTCAATATTGAGACTCACACTGGTCAAAGTACAGCGAACAAGTGTCTGTGGTGTGCTCAGTCATTAATGGGGTATCTATAGAACATGCAAGCTTGCATACACACACAGACCCCAAGACTCAAGGAACATTGTGGAAGAGGGACAGAAAGAATTTAGGAGCCAGAGGATGGAGAACAGTGCTGTGAAATATTGTCTTCTCAATATGACATGGTGCTGCACTCATAAACTCATAGCAGCTGTGGTTACTCACGCTATCAAGCAAAATCAAGCAAGTCAACATTCCAGCATGGGTAAGGGAGGAGCATATGAGGCCCATCTTAGCTGAGGAGCTGTGATAGTTAGGACTGTTGACTGAGGAGGATTCACTTTTCTTCAGGGGCATAGCCCCAGATACAGTAAATAAGCCCATGCCCACTTATACACAGGCAAGTAACCCTAACCAAACAAAAACAAAAAGACATAAATTTAGGAGGAAGTGTTGTGAAGAGGAAGAAGGATTCCAAAGAGAACAGAATGGGGATAAACAAGGGGACTAGGTTGTATGTATAGGTATGTAATTCTGATCAAAATGCATTAAAAATATCCTCATTGTGGCATTAGTATATGTACACAGACTGTCTGACTTACAGTGGTTTAACTTAACACAGCACAAAAAAATGCCACATTCATTCAACAGAAACTATGCCTTGAACATCAGTATTTTCCTGGACTAGTAAAATGCAGTATGAAAAGTTTCTTACTACACTGGGCAGTCCCCAATCACACAATGAATTACAAGGAAAAGCAACCATTACTCTGCAGTGTGTGTGACCATGACACTGAGTATCAACTCTGCCCATTTCTGCAGTTAACATTCCCCAATTACAGGAGGCACACTGTAACTTACCTGGAAAAGCGTATTAGCACCTTGCAGTCTGGCTGGGCTCAGGGGAGCGAATGGGCTGAGAGTGCTCCAAAAGTGGATACTGGAGAGCAAGGGGCTTGGAGTCAGCAAGATGGGTGTCTGCAATACACAAGAAGATAGATTGCTCAAGGACTCGCCAGGGTTATGGTCTATCGTCCCAAAGACAGACAGAATCCACACACTATGCTCTTCTCCTCCCCAAACATCTCTAAGCCTGAAATTTTATCATGATGAAAAGCTCAGAAATCACTTTATCATCTAGAAAAGATAAAGGTCACAGTAATCACTTTAGAACCTATCTTTTATAGAGTCTTTCCAAACTAGAAAGCAAACCTAAATTTGGGTACAAAAGAGCAACAGCTGAGTACCTGTAATATCAGAGCTCTCCAAGGTGAGCAGGTTAATGCCTAATGTAACTCAGTAAGCTGACTACAAAGCCCACACCAATCCTTCTCTCAAGGCTCTCACTCACTTCTGTTTACTCCTAGGCAAGCATTCTATCATCTGAGCTGCATCCTCAGCCTAAGAATAATGAATTTTAAAAGATGCAAGGTTAAGGGGGCTGGAGAGATGGCTCGGAGGTTAAGAGCACTGACTGCTCTTCCAAAGGTCCTGAGTTCAATTCCCAGCAACCACATGGTGGCTCACAACCAACCAATTTGAGATCTGGTGCCCTCTTCTGATGTGCAGATATACATGGAAGCAGAATGTTATATACATAATAAATAAAATCTTTAAAAAAAAAAAGATGCAATGTTAAATCTCTTTTGTTTTGCAGATCCTAGTTACGGTAAGGAATTGGGAGTTTCCCAGGTTTAAATATAACCTTTCTAAGAGAGCCTTAATTAGCAGAAATTGAATTTTTGTAAACTCTAGGTACAGCTGGAAAGGGGAATAAATGTAGTTACACTTAAGAGGAAGAGCAAGCTACCTGTGAAAAAAGTGCTGGTGTGAGAGACGCTGTTGGGAGAGATGGACTTAAGATCCCCAGGGGGCTGGGGTCACTGCCTGTGACCACAAGGGCGGGTGTCAGTTCTAACCCTTTGGGCTTCTTGGATCTCGAGGAGTTATTTGTTTTGTCCTTTTCTGGCACAGCTGAATCCTCATTTTTAGGCTCCAATGACAAGTTCTCTGGAAGTTCCATTGGCTGAGACGCCACTGAGTCAATGTCTGTGTCAATGTCTGGGTTAGAACTCAGTGGTGGAGAAGGCGTCCTAGGAGGCTCCTTTGGGGGAAGGGGTACGGATGGAACTGGAGGAGTGGGGTTAAAGGTGGTAGCCAGAATGGATGCAGAGGCTGGGGCTTCCAGAGAAGGCAGTGTGGGAGAAACCAGTGTCTCCAAAGCTTGGATAGTTTCTTCAGAAGAGGGAGAAATACTTGGGCTTGTTGAAAAGGTAACAGCAACAGGTTCGATGGGTGGCTTTTTGGCAGGTGTTGTTACAAATTTGATGACAGATGGTGTTGGCTCCTGAGTTTTTTTCTCTGCCAGTTTTTCAGCTGGATTCTCTATCTTGATTGACTTGAAAAGCTTCTTATTGGAGGTGTTCAAAGAGTTGAGAGTAAATGAAGAGTACAAACCAGAATGTATGTAGTCATTGCGACTAGATGTCCTGGCTGCAGGCTGAGGTGCCCGTTCCTTTGCCCCACTCTCAGCATCTTTGGAACTGCTGGCGTCAAGGGAATTTAAAGTTTCACAGTCTCCCTCTATCCTGCCTACTGTCAGTGGATCCATTTTCAAAATCTCTGGATAAGAGACAAACTTGTACACAAACTTCTGACCATTCACTTTTTTAATGATGTTCTGTAGGCAGAGAAGATATAACAGTCTTAAACTTTCTTATAAATTTACATCTTACAGTTCTTGCAAAAGAGAACCTAGTGAAGTGCTCTGTTTGAGAACTAGGCATAGCTTTAAAAAAATAAATAAATAAAAGCTTTGAAAGCATCTACACTCATCTATCCAGGTCAAACACAGTGCCTGTTTAGAGAAATTAAAGCAGCTCAACACCCCTCAGCAACTGGACTAAGCCAGCACATAGTTGCTGAGGCTGTGACTGTTTGACTCTCTTGAATAAAATCACTCCATATAGTCTGATATTACAGTGAGTCAGAACTCACTGAACTACAATCTCCAAACGTCCACGGTGCAAGCCATAAGCATTCTGAGGAAGCTAAGGAGTCTCAGAACATGGCACCTTGAGCTTCCTACATCAATTGACTCTTACCTCAGGAGGGCTGGGAAGATCAACCACTGAGAGGTGGAGGAAGCAACAGTTCAGACACTTAGTCTAAGTCTATTCTTTGGAAATGTGCATTTTTCTCCAGTGCCCAAGAAAATATATAAAAGTCACAAGACATTAAAAGATATAATTTTGGGCTGGAGAGAAGGCTCAGTGGTTAAGAGCAACACCGTCTGCTCTTCCAGAGGTCATGAGTTCAATTCCCAATACCCACATGGTGGCTCACAACCATCTCTAGTGGGATCTGATGCCCTCTTTGGGCATGCAGGTATATATGCAGAGCACTCACACATAAAATATAAATAAATAATTTCTTAAAAAAAGATATAATTCTGGGTTGAGGAGATGGTTTGGCAGGCAAGGGTATTTATCTATGCAAGCCTGAAGATCCAAGTTTGACCCCCAGAATGTAAAAATCTGGATGTGGTATTATGGCCATGTAATCCCAGCATTCCTACAGAGACGGGGAACAAAGACAGGAGAACTGCCAGGAAACCTGCAGGCCAGCTAGCCTGGGATATGTAGCTCAGCAGCAGAAACAAGAGACCCTGCTCCAGCAAGTACGACACAAAGTGAGAACAGACCCTCAAAAGTTATCCTCTGGGAAGACTGGAGTCAGCTCAGCAGTTAAAAGCACCAGCTGCTATCTTGGGATTAATCTCGGGAGGCAGAGGCAAGTGGATCTCTTAGTTTGAGGCTAGCCTGTCTACCCAGGGATATCCAGGGCAGCCTGGGCTAGAGAGACCCTGCCTCAAGATAAATAGATAGTAGATAGAGCAAGCAAGCAAGTACTGGCTGATCTTCCAGAGGATGTAGATTTGATTTCCAGAACCCACATGGTAGCTTACAACCACTGCTAACTCCAGTTCCAGGAGATCTGACACTTTCTTCTGGCCTCCTCGTATACTAGGCACACAGGTGGTAAACATACATGCATACAGGCAGCAAGCTCATACACATAAAATAAATAAATCATTGAAAAGAAAAAACAAACAACTTGTTCCTGACCTCCACAGACATGCCAGGGCACAAGTGTGCCCCCCTTCTCCCTCACACAAACATAAAATAAATTTTAAAATTTTAAGTGTAATTTAAACTAAGAAATCAACTCTATTTTAAATAGCTACTCTTGTTAATCTAGAGTCCATGGCAATCCTCTTGCCTCAGCCTCTTGAGTGCTGAGGAGTTACAGGTGAGCCACCATACCTGGGGCAATAGCTATTCTTTGGGGTGTTTTTTGCAAGACAGGGTTTCCCTATGTAACATCCCTGGCTGTCCTGGAACTCAATCTGTAGACCGGGCTGGCCTTGAATCCACAGAGATCCGCCTGCCCCTCCCTCCTGAGTGCTGTCATTAAAGGTATGCACCACCATACCAGGCTGGCAATAGCTATTTTTTTAAAGCACTAATTTGTGTTCCCAAGACTAAATTAAAACTAAAAATTCAATATACGGGTATATATGATGAAATTTTTGTGTGTGCATGAACATACATGGGTATTCCCATGTGTGGAGGTATGTGTAAACCTGTGTGTGCATATATGTCCATGTGCATGGGAGCCAAAAGCCAACAACAGGCGTCGGCCTCAATTGCTCTGGTTTTTTGTGTTGGTGGTGTTTTTTGAGACGAGGTCTCTCAATGAACCTGGAGCTTGCCAATTTGTCTAGAGTTGCTGGACACTCCCATCTCTGCCTCCCAGCACTGGGACACAGGCACACCCTATCTGGGTCTTTCCCATGGGTGCTGGCAGCAGGCTCTGGTCATCACGCTTGCTCTACAAGCACTTTGCTAACTGAGCCATCTCCCTAGCTCCTGTTTTCTTCTTTTCGTGGAGCAGGGCCTCCTGGGTCTCAGATTGGCTTCACGTTTGGTAAGTCATCAATTTCAGATCCTCCTGCCTTTACCTCCTCAGTGTTAGGATTACAGGCTTGTGCCACAACAGCTGTTTCTGTGGTGCTAAAGATTCAACTTCATGCATGCCAAGCAAGTAGTCTACAACTAAATTACATCCTTAGCCCTAAAAGATAATATTTAAAGTAAATTATGACGTATATAGGAGTATTTATTCTCAAGCATCTCCAATTTCCTTTTTTTTGTATTCCAATTTTGTACTTTTTCTTTTCAAGATCACCTCAGGGGCTAGAGAGACGGTTCAGTGATTAAGAGCATGAACCTGAGCTCAGTTCCCAGCACCCATGTCAGATGGCTAGCAACTGTATGTAACTCCAGTTCTAAGAGGGCACTGCATGCACACCATACACAGACATCCACTCAGGCCAAACACCCATACACGTAAAATGAAAACAAGTACATCCAGCGAGGTGACTCAGCAGGTAAACGTACTTGCCACCAAGTCTGATTACCTGAGTTTGATCCCTGAACCTATCTGATGGGAGGACAGAACTAACTCTTACAAGTTGTCCTCTGGTTGTCATATGTGCACATGTGTACCAATGAATATAACATTTAAAAACTTTAAAGGAGTTTGTAGAAATACAACCAGAACCACTGAAACTGCTAAATAAACTGGACTAAATAAACCACATTAGTACTCAACATCTCAACAGAAACAAAGGACTAATTCTTGTCTTGAGGTTCTCTGTATAGCAGCAGGGTCAGGGCAGGGTATTTATTTACCTTTACGTAGTAGTATCTCAGGGCTCTGCTGAGCTTATCGTAATTCATATTAGGCTTGTTCTTTCGAATCCCCCAGAGACGAGCCACCTCCTCAGCTTGCAGAAGCTTGAACTCCCCATTGTTAGATGTCCAGCAGATCATGTGCTCGTTCTGAGGCTCCTGCAGGAGCTGAAGAAGGAACTGCCACAGAGTGATGGCACTGTCCATAGCAATGGGCTGAAAGAGCACACAGATAAGTGAGACAGTCATTTAATGAGAGGCACTGGTGTCATGTGTTCTAAGTGTCCTGCACAACACTCAACCATCATTTCACATGTCAAAAGGGAGATTAATACAGGGCTAACTGTCCAAGGACACTGCAAATACTAACACTAGAATTAGTCTAAGCAATCTGAATCCAGAGTCCACCTTCTTACATAAGCTATGTGACTTAGGTTTTGTTTTGACAGTGTCTCCTGTGTGGCCTCAGCTGGCCTTGAACTCACAGTTCTCCTGGCTCAGCCAGCCAAGCACAAGGATTAAACTATGTACCACTATGGCCAGCTCCCTTATGAAAATCTTATTTTAGTATTGTATTTTGAATTATGTGTATATTTGTGTGTGTGTGTGTGTGTGTGTGTGTGTGTGTGTGTGTGTACATTTGTGGACATGACAGTGGTGCCATAGAGGCCAAAAGAGGGTGTTAGATCTCCTGGAGCTGAGTGCTTAACATGAGTGTTGGGAACCAAACTCAGGTCCCCACAAGCAGTATATACTCGTAGCAGCTGAGCCATCTCTCCAGTCCCCAGCTTCAGAAGTCTTAAGCATGACTGGGTATGGCTCAACAGCAAAGCACCTGTGCGAGCAGGAGGCCTTGGGTTCCAGCTCCAGCATGATAGGGGAAAAAAAATGTTACCTTAAAGACAAGCAGCCAGGGCTGGAGATATGGCTCAGGGGTTAAGAGCATTGACTGTTCTTCCAGAGGTTCTGAGTTCAATTCCCAGCAACCACATGGTGGCTCACAACCATCTGTAATGAGATCCGGTGCCCTCTTCTGGCACGCACTGTATACATGATAAATAAATAAGTAAATAAATAAATCTTAAAAAAAAAACTCTATGGAAACAACTATATCACGTCTATGAATTCTCCAAGGAAAATAAATCTAGTTCCATAAATGATAGCAACAAGCTAAAGACTGGAAGTCAACAGAGGTCAGTTGTTAACTTTTACCTTTAAAGTCCTACTGTCACATTCTCTCAGAAGACCACCATTTCAGTGTCTAGCTAAATGAGCCCACTGTGCTTATCTGACAAGATGTGTGTCTCAGGATGGCTAGGAGGCTGAGGTGGAGGGAACAATTTGTTCCTAGTCCAACTGGTCTTTCTCCTCCAAATAGTAAGCATCATGGCAGGGTAGTATTTGTATTGCCATACAAATTGGCAATACTGAGAATTCAACAAAATGTTCCCCAATTCAATCTGCAAGTTCTGTTACTGTTCACAGCCTGCAGAGTTTCTTGTATTTAATTAGTGATCAGGACAAGAACAGAAGAAAAAGCCTTCACTATTGGGGTCTTCCTGTTCAGGCCAGTTCTCAGTTCTAGCAAGCCTTCCACTGGAGCTGGCCAATCCTGTGCTGTAGGATTATCTTGCACACTGCAGTTGCTTCACCAGCACCCCGACTTCTGCCCACTAGATATTAGTACCCTTGCCACTGAGACTGCCTCTGCAGCCAAATCACCCTGCTGACAACCACTCTCCCAGATAGCAAGCAGCAAGGTAGTGCTCTTACAGGGGCATTTTCCTCATAGAACTTCATGGGAAGAATTCCTTACATGGCATCTCTGACCGGATCAACATTTAAGTTTATTCATATGTGACAAAGTGACTGAACAAATCCCACAAAAACTAAAATCATAAAAACTCTCCATTCTCTAGGAATGAAATCTCAGTGGGTCAGAAGAGGGTCTGAAGACAAGCTGATTCTAGTGAAACACTACCAAGACAGGCAAATTGGACTACATCAAAATTGTAAACAGTGCTGTGAATACCAGCAAGCCAGAAAACAATCCCTCCTGTATGTTCTAAACCCTAAACTGGCTCACAAATCATGTGTCATAAAGGAACTTGCATCCCCAGTAGGTAAACAACACTTATGGCATAAAAAGAAAAGCCAGGCCCAGGAGTCTATCCAGAGAAAAGCTGGAAATGGCCAACGAGCATCGAGAAAGATCCCCCCCATCATTAATAGAGACTGGAACTCAAAAACAAGCCAAAACCACAAGTGTGCAACAATAAGCTGACAACGACAGAAACTGAAACTCACACATTGCTGGTAGAAATGTTAAATGTATTGCCTCTACAGCCAAGTTTACCACGTGACCAGGCACACACCTGGATAATGGAAACATATGTCCACAGAAGAACTGTACGGTACCACATGCCTTTAATTCCAACACTAGGAGGCAGAGGTGGGCAGATTTCTATGAGTTCAGTGCCAGCCTGGTCAACATATCAAGTTCCATGCCAGCCAGAAATGAACTGCAAAACTCTGTCTCAAAACAAACCAAAAAACCAAAAACAAAACAACAACAACAACAAAGCAAAGGCCGGGCAGTGGTGGCACATGCCTTTGATCTTAGCACTCGGGAGGCAGAGGCAGGCGGATCTCTGTGAGTTCAAGCCCAGCCTGGTCTACAAAGCTACACAGAGAAACCCTATCTCAAAGAAAAAACAAGCAAACAAAAAACCAGAAATGTTCATAGCAGAATTATTCAAAAATCCTAACAGTGCATCAATTCAAAAGTCCACCCAACTTATGAATGGAATAATAAAATACAGTACATTCATATGCTGGAATATTATTCAGCCACTAAAAGGAATCAATAGGGGTGGAAAGATGGCTGTTATTAAAACACTTGCTGTACAAGCATGAAGGCCTAGCTCAAATCCCCAGAATCTACATAAAGCAGTAGTCAACATCTGTAACTCCAATGCTCCAAGGGAATGTGAGTGGGCAGGAGAATCCCTACAAGCTCAGGGAGCCAGCTGGCTGAAGTACATGGTGGCAGAATGATGAGACCGTATCTCAAACAAGGTAGAAGGGGAGAGCTACACCTTAGGCTGTCCTGGTACCTTAAGCTACACACATACACACAAAAAACATGAACTCACACAAAGATTAAAAATAACATTAAGTTTAAAGGCAGAAGGAGTAGAGGAGTCACTGGGTAAAAGCATTTGCTGTGCATATGCGATGTCTTAGTTAGGGTTTCTATCCCTGTGAAGAGACACCATGACCAAAGAAAACATTTAATTGGGGCTGGCTGGCTTAAGTTTCAGAGTTTTAGTTCATCGTCATCAACACAGGGAGCACGACGGTGTGCAGGCAAAGGTGATGCTAGTGGCTGAGAGTCTTAAATCTTGCAGGCAGCAGGAAGTTGACTGACTTTCTGGGCAGTATCCTGAGCATAGAAAACCCCAAAGCCCACTCCCACAGTGACACACCTCCTCCAACAAAGCCATACCCACTTCAACAAAGTCACACCTCCTAATAGTCCCACTCCCTATGAGGGCCAATTACATTCCAACTACCACACCCGACAACCTGAGTTAGCTGTCAAGAACCCACAATGGAAGAAAGGAACTGATTCCTCACAGTTGTACACACACACACATTTTTCAGAAAGAAAAGAAGGAAGGAAGGAAGGAAGGAAGGAAGGAAGGAAGGAAGGAAGGGAGAGAGAGAGAGAGAGAGGGAGAACCGAGTACTGATACAGCATGGAGACCCTTGAAAACATGACAAAAGTGACAAGCACCATCTACAAGGGCCAGTGGGTGGCTCCAGGGATATGAAATGTTCAAACCAGAGCATTCTACCGACAGAAGGGAGACCAATGAGGCTGAGCTGGCTGAGGTAGATGGAGAGCGTCGGGTGGAAGGAGCTGTGGGGAGAAAACTGGAGAATGAACACTGATGGCCACAAGCTTCTTTTAGGGTGGCTGAAAAGGTTCTCAACTAAGAGTGTAGTGATGCCATTCTTGTGCATTAAAGAGCACTCAACCGCATGCTCTTGGCAGGTGATGTTACTCTCAATGAAGACGTTTAAAACAAACAAACAAACCTAACGTAACCAGCATTACAAAACGCAGGCATGAGAAGACTAAGTCTAACAACATATGACTCAGAGGACAGATTAGTGAGCATCAGCCAGGAACATGTCTGGGTTTCTAGAATTGCTCTGCAGCATGAAAATGCCCTCCCTTCATCTTTAGTTACCAGTTTTGACACTGCCTATGCAGATACTGTGATCCAAAAGCAGAGACAGTAAAATAAGAAGGGTTGCCTCCCACAGTCAGAGTTGATGGGAAAGTGAGACAGGAATCCCAGGCTCCTCCATCGGCCATGCACTCCTCTACTTCTGAGAGAGGCCTCTTCTCCATCCAGCAAGAGCATTGCCAGCATTAAACACCAGAGACTGTGATACCAATCCCCAAAGAGCCCCTTTCGTGCTAAGTAACCAGCCCAGTAGACATCTTCCCCACTTAAGCAGAGTTAAAATAGTGATTTCATTTCCATTAAGTGCGGCAGGGGAGGGGTGACCCTTGTCATTGTTTTCAGTTTTCCAAACAGACCTTTTTTCTGGTGATGTCTACTCTGATGGCAATTCTTATGTCTATTCTTATTCTTTTTATTATTAGTTTTCCAATTTTGGCAATTATATCCTGGTCCAACCTGTTAAAACTAATCCAATAAGTAGGAGTCTAAGGGAAGAACACATTTCAGATGTCACCGTCACATCTAGAATGTCTGCAGGAGTCTTGCCTGGTAGCATACACCTTTAATTCCAGCACTCAGGAGGCAGAGGCAGGTAGGTCTCCATGAGTTCAAAGCCAGCCCATTCCAGGACAGCTGGTCTGTTACAATAAACTTGGACACTTCAGCACTTGGGAAGCAGAGAAGCAAGAGATCAAGGTCTCCCTGACCTGTATGCCTGCCTCAAAGCAAAAACACAACACCAAAAACATGTAGTCCTGGGGACCAAAGCCAAGGTTTCATACAGTAAACATGGGTTCTACTACTGAGCTACAACCCTCAACCTAAGATTCAATTTCAGTGTCAGGTTATTCTTTCAATGAACTCCTAGATACACAGTAGAAATTCTTCACTTTAGCTCCTACAAGTGTGATATTAATTATGAACTTCAATAATTTCAACTATAATAGAGAACTGGGC